GCATACATTATACGAAGTTATACGAATATATATATATTTCGCGGATGTGGATGATCAGGGATAGTCGAGTGAAAGGGGAAATGGTGTATAGTATACAGGGACCCAATATTGAAATTCACCAGGGACTCATGTTCCAATCGGTAGATTCTAAACGTTGTTTCGAGTGAAACAGATTTATTTAATCGGAATATACTGATCGCGCTGAAGATCTCGAAAGTGTTAATCTGATACGAGACACCAATTTTTGAATTATAATATTTTTGGGATTAGAGCAACCAATATCACGCCGCGGCTGTGAGATAGAAGGGCATGGATGCTGTATGAGAATCTCGGAAGTGGAGTACGCACTTTAAATAAAATTTTGGCATCCCCTTTTCCTTTGCAGCCAAGCATACGATATTGATTGCCGTCTCGTTCCAAATAATTGATAATATGCAATACGTTTAATGACGCTAAACGCACAGCGAAACTCCATTGTGTGAGAATCGTCGATCGTTCTTAATTATAATCGTTACTGAAACGTCGCGCACATTGCGGGAATCCGCCTCTGTTCAACATTCAAGGACGAGTATCGGTACCACGATGTCGAAGTGCGAATCGAGTACGGATGCGAGGACTGAGGAATGTGGCCTTGATCGAGGAGCGAAGAAAGAAATTTATCGACGAAATAATTACTTTGCGCGCTTTGTTGAAAGGATCTCTTGTGCGATCTCCACTTTTTAATCTTAAGAAATTGGAATTGCTGAGAACATGTGTTATGCGTGTGTACGAGATAGTGAGAAATTTTCGAATTCCTTCGACCGAGAGGGGAGAAAAAAAAAACAAGCTTTGCTACCAAACACCAAGTTTTATTATATGTAAGTCGCAAACGAGATACTGTAAATATTGTGAGTAAACCCAACACGGGGTTTTGCACATTTTTAGAAGAAGAATACGTTTGCGTATTAGGATCTACGATGATTGAATCGCGAAGGGGCGGCAGAGACCCTACGAGCGTATCATCACCTAAAAAAAATGTACAGCTGCTGTATATCGGCATGATGGGTCAAGAAGACGCATTGGGTTGCGCGAAAGAGAGGGAGAGAAAAGCGCGAAAAAAAAAAATAGGCATACGATAATATTACGATTATCTCACTGATTGGTACATAGTCATACTGGTCTTAATAGCATTATAGAGAGCCATTTAAGTCTGCATGCTTAGCCAATTTGCGCTCGCCGGTCGAGGTCCGCGAGGACCCATCGCAGCCCTGAGCGTTTTAATAAGGGTGTAAAACTATCGATAGTGGCGCGCGTAGGCGTCTACGATACGTGACGATCATCTTTAGAAGTTCATCGAGCCGAAACGGGACATGCAAGTTATAGCGAATCTGAACCTGGGTGACGTGTGCGAGAAAAACGACTGGAGCATCGGGACAAGGAAAACAGGGACGGCGCACCTCGCCTAGACAATATTAGCGCGATAAAAATATGCCCTTTGTTGCCACTGGCTGGGCGATCGAATCACGAGAGGACCGGAGGAGACGAAGCCCGCTTGATTGACTAATTAATTCGCCTGATTGCGTCGCACGAGTTGCATATGTTTGTAAGATGCGAAGGTGCAGGGAGGGGTATCAATCGACACGCGTCATTAAACATCCTATAATTAATTTTTAATTGATTATAATTAATACTCAATTAATTATAATTAATTTTCAATGAATAATTTTAATATAATTGAAAATTAATTATAGTATTTTAATATAATTATAAAGATCAATTATAGGGTGTTCAATTCAATTAATTATAATTGATTTTAAAGACTTGAAACATTTAAATAATTTCATTTGTCGGAGAGAAACAGTTGATGCACGTTAAAATGTGAGTTTTTTGTTTGTGTTCAGTTGACTCAGTTTGCTCACTATTTTAATTAGCTCATAATTGTGTTTATTTATTCTTCAAAATTTACTTTCTCCTATTTTTGTACAAAGAATTATCGCTTTCTTAGTTATATCTTATCGCATACAATTATTCCTTTCCCTTTTACACGGATGGATATTCGAAAATGCATTAAATCACATTCCTTCGCCCGAACGTATCATACACAGTCACGCACTCTTCTCGAGATGTGTATACGAATTATTTACTGTGAAAAAGAAGGTTCGGTGCTCAAGAACACCGAATAATCATCGCCGATCTATTGTATGCTAACGTCTTATATGCTTCAGTCGCTCGATGTACGACCATGCGAGGCGTTAAAAAAATCTAGAGCATAATAAAAATAGCGATAACGAATCGAACGAATAAATGGATTTGATGTTTAGACGCTGCCTCCGTTATGTGCCCTGCCGCAAAGAATAAAATAACACAGACAAACCATGTACCCACCTCCCGAAATCGATATATGATATGAGAAATAAATTCGCAACAAAATAAAAACTGCCCTCTTCTCGCTTATTATCCACTATCCGAGGAAAGAAAGTGACTGGAGTCAATCACGCGAACACTTTTCCTTCATTGTGCGTATCACAAATTATATCACTTTTATTGTCCCTGGATGATTACGATTATACAAAGAACAATGTACAGTATGTTCACATTTTTCTAAGTATATTTTAGATACAGGACAGAGTAGAGTATACATTATTGAATTTGTCGCACAATTCTCAACATTATCAGCTTTCCGCTTTTTTATTAGCAGTTACAGAATATCCTGCGTATTGCCTGCTGAATGAAATATCAATAATACATTTCACTCGATGTTACAATAAGAGCACGGTTCGTAATATTGCATATCATCCGTCAGCTGATTTCTACAGAATTTACAATGGGTTAATGCTCGGCCTCAAGGAAGCAAGATAACGTATCCTCTCGCGAATGATATGATACGGAACAACATGCTCGCAAGTGTTCACGACAAATATATTTTATTTTCGCAACAATATCTTCGCTCGTAACTAAGAACTAAGATACAGATCGTTTTAATTTCAATTTGTTCTGTTTTACTTATTGTTCCAATTATCGTAATATCGATTGATTACTTTCAATGTTATTCGTATACACATGTATGGTATCAAAACCAAACATATAATTTAATTTCACATCTTTCAAATACTATTGTAACATAAAACGCATTTTTTCTAATAATACAAGTTTGTTCTGAGCAAACAACAGAATCCTGCGACAACAGCAAAATAATAGTAATTAAAACATTATAAATTATTTAAATTAATCTGTTAAATACTATTGCTAATTTATCAATTTATCTTTAAATAGCATTACTTATTGAAATAATAATTACTATAATTATTATATAATTGTGTCAAATATTATTAAATGTAATATAATATAATATAATACTATAATCATGATATACCATAATAAATTTCGTTGTTTTCACTGAATATTATAATTATTTTCTTATGATTAGAGAAACTATTTCACATATGTGTAATATATTTAACAAATAAAAATTTGCTATTTGTATCTCTAATACCGATAAAAGTAATAGATCACATAAATAATTTTTATCCATTCGGCAAGAACCCTGGTAGAAAAATCACCATGGTGCTAGGCTGGCGCTAACTTACTTGCCCCACTGCCTGATAAGGAGCTAGTATGGCATGTAGACTAGCGCCAGACATAAAATCATCACATTCTTCCAGTTTAATACCCGATTTAATCGACTAGTCAGGCGTTAGCTAGCTCTAGTGTAGTGCTATCTAGCCGTGGTGTGGCGCACGGTAGTTCTGATGTTGTACTATCTAGCCATGATGTGGCGATAGCTAGTTCTCACGCAGTTCTTATTTTTATAATCGACATCCAGACGTTAAAAATAAAATTAATATTTTTTCATTAAAAATATATATAACAAAATATAAAATATTTAATTTTCGATAATTCTCTCTTAATATTTTTACATACACATGTCCGTATAGAATTTGACGTTGCAATGTTCGGAAAAGATCTAAATGTTCACAGAAAATGATATTCAATAGAAACTCAATGTTTTATATCCAAAATTATATTAACATAAATTTTTTAAGCACTGTTAATCTGGACATTTAAATATGGAAGTTATATGAAAGTATTAATATGTTAAAACATTGAACAAAATTGTTTCAACTATTGTGTGAACTTTTTATTCTATATGGATGATAAAATGAGAAATACAATTAAGGAATAATTTAAGAATAATTTTAAAAAATTAACAACTTGAAAAGACAGTTATTAGGCGTTTAGAGTTTGGTTTTTAATTCGATCCTTTCGGTGTCCCTCCCAGTCTTTTGCATTCGACAAAGTATTGCTGATTGTCTTCAAAATGTGGGATTCTTTAATATATTCTCCCTTTATATTTAATCCGATATATATGTCTGAAATAATTGTAAATAGAAATAATAAATTATGCACATACACGGTATGAGTTCAGTTACTTACTGATAATAATTAAATAATATAGTTATTTTACCTTCAATATACTGATACAGACGAGTTCTTTTGAAAACTTTTTTCCCGTTTATCTCTTTAATTGCCGTGTATTTTAATGCAATCTCTCTTGACATAATTATTTTTAATTTGTTGCTAATGTTTTTCGATAATGTTTGATCTACATCGATGTACTGACGTAAATAAGCACACTGAAAATATAAACATAGAAATTGTTAGACTATGCAAAACACTATCAAAGAACTGTTATTATATTTTACATACACACACACACGCACACATACTACACACATTTTAATTATACTTATACCAGATTTATTATACTTATACCAGAAGCACTTACAAATTCAGAACAAAAATTTTCCATTTTTAATTTTGTGTTAAATTACAAGCAGCCGTTTGATTAATCAGAACACTTTTTATTTTTTTTATATCAAATGCGATATTTTCTACTTTTGAAAGTAGCAAATTTATTTTTGTAAATAAAAATTTATTTTAAAAAATTTCGAAACATATATACATAAAAAATTATATATATATATGTGTGTGTGTGGTGTGGAAAATTTCGATTGCGTTTATAATTTCAACTAACTTGTATCATTTATTTCAATCGCAGATTTCAACTGTTGTATAACATCAGCGGAACCCTCGTTTAGCTGGTTTGTTAAAATATTCGGAATAGTTGATATGACGGGTATTTCATTTTCAAACAGTAAGACATTTTCCTCCTGGCACTGTTGATCTGAAAAATATACAAACTTCTAGTAAAAATTAGTCAAGAAATATATAGTATAAGTTTATCTAAAAATACCATACCTAAATTATTTGAAAACAAGTCCAAGTCATAGAATTTTTCATCTGAAAAAAATACACCATAAAATTAAAGAATTCGTAAATAATGTATTCTATAAAGAAACATTTCATCATTATGAAATCATTGAAACGTATTTTATTATTTATAATTATACGATTTCTCATTTGCCATTTACTTCTGTAATTCAAGATAATTAAGAATATCAACATTTAATGTTGTGAACAAATCTAATCTGAATGTAAACGAATATAAATAAGAAATTTTATAAATTACCTTTGTCATGTTTATCTTTACTAGATTCTTCATAAGAATCATTTTTCATTGCAGTGTAATTTTTGTCGTTGGTTTGCTGTGACATACACTCATCTGGAAAATAATTATAAAAATAATAATGTGTAAAATTATAATAAATGATGCAAAGTATTTAATTACGAATGTAAACACAGAAAAATGATGTTTGTTCAAGTGAATTAATTTGAGAATTACTAGCATTTTTTACAAACTTCATTAGATTTCTCATCTGTATATTACAACAATTAAAATAATACGTATAGTAAAGAAAATTAAATATATTATTTAACTAATTATGCAATATAATCAATTTTAAAATATTATTCTTAAACAAATAGACTGAGCAGGAAGAATTACTATATTCATCAACATCAAATGATTTTTATACCAAAATGAATGTTAAATTATGTTGTATAAAATTATAAAAAATTTTTAATTATGTTGCAGGCGTTGTGGATTGTAATGTATAAAAATATAATAATATATAGTTATGTAGAGCAATTGATGTAAATGTAGTGGCAATAATAAAAAAGTAACATACATAATTGAATTATATGATACATATGCATTCAAATAAAGTTACCTTCGAATAAGGTATCACATATTGCAGATTCGTCCGTGCATTTATTCTTTTTCTCAAGTCTTTTTGATAAATTTTCGCCTAAAAAAATAAGAAAATGTAATTATATGCGGTAAAAATTTAAATAGATACATTAATTATTAAACTTAGACAATCACAAAGTACATTTAGATGAGTTAGATAATTTGGAAGAACCAATTTTTTCTGCATATGATTTTTCGCCAGTCTTTTTTAATATTTTAAAAGCTGAAAATGTTAAAAATAATTAATAATTATAAATTATTATTGAATATAAAAATAGATTATTAATACATCTCATCCTATTAATTATGCTTTAAATACACATTTTACAAATACATTCGTTTGGAAGACGATCCTCGTGAAGAAATTCTTCCACTGTCGTGACAGAATTGAATAGTTCGTTTATCTGTTCTTCATTTTTTAAAAGTTTTTTTTTGCGAATTGAATTTTCTACTTTCTTTGATTTTTCATTTTGATCTTCATTTGAATTACTTGTAAAAGCAAATTCCTTGTCATTTAATAATTGTAATCTAAGCAGAGCATCGGCATACGTTTCTGTAATAAGTTTATTACAATAATAACAATAATAAAAATTTGGTAATATTTTACAGTATTAACTTCTTATATAATTAATAGTAAAATTACATAAATTCATACTTCCATGTGCTTTAATTTCCACGGTGTACTCCGGCCATGATGTTGGTGCAGTGTCTAAATTCTTTACAATGTTATGTAACAGTTCGGAATCTCTCTCAGTGTATGGTGGCGGAAGAAATTTACATTTTATTTTTTTTGTCTTCGCGTTCCAGTCGAGCCAATTTCTTGGCACAATGTCCAGTTGTTTTGTGGACCCTTTTCTTCCTCTTGTCACGAATTGGACGATCACGTATGGACGACTTTCGTCGTCACTATCACTAGTGTCAGACATCTATAAATATAAGATAAACAAATTTAAATATACCCAGCAACCTGTAGAAAAATTATGTCACTGGCTATGTTACAATATCACTTACTGTGAAAATTCGATTTTTATCAATAGCGATGTTCAATCTTGTAAATACTTTTCGTTCAGTAGTCCTGCCATCTTGTTCGTGCTCGTGTTTTCTGCAACGTTTTTTGTTTCTCGAGCCTTGGTAGCGTTTCTATGACAACATTGTCGACATTCACACATGAATATTGACACCGTCTATTTTGACATTAGATAGACACTATTTTCTTCAGTTCGAATTCTGCAGACGTTAGCCTGCGGTATACACAAAGCATTTGCTTTGTGTAGTGGCTTAGAGTGCAAAAGTTTGGAAATTGCAAGCTTCTACACGACTATCACTGCCAACCACACTACATTGTTATAAACCTTTCTATTTGAATCCATATTTTCATGTTTTGCACACTGCACTTATCACCGCACCACATCACACTAAGCCAATTGTAAACTTAAATATTCGCTTTTATATTAATGCAAAAGTTCCAAAGCAAAGACTTTTGTATTTTCTTTATTTGGTTTTAAAATCATTAATTTTGTTGAAATTGTATTAATTAAAATTGATTTGTCTGTTGATGCTGGTTTAGGATTTAATTCATAAATATCTACATTTGCAGAATTACACGGATATGTGTACACGAAATCCTTTACTTTCATAATGTCGACGTTTGCTTTAAAAATACCATCTGTGACATATATTTTTTTTATACGACAAATATTTTTATTGTTTAAAATAACAGTATTGTCGGGTGATTTTGTTGTAATGGTTATTTGTTTATATTTTAATTTTTTTATTTCTCCATTAGTCTGTTGTAGAATTTCTATTGAAGGGAGAGACGGTTTTTCATTAAGACATAATTTTTTTTCGTGCATTCTTCGAGCTAATTGAGGAGCAACATTGTGTGGTGAACGTAATGTGTTTTTTATTTTTCCTAAAAAAATTTCAAACGGAAACGCAGTTATGTAATTTAAGTTACATTGCATATTCTGTACGTCGTCTGGTATATGTTGAAGGCTGTGTACGTTCATTACCACAAATTCTGGACCATACAGTTCTTTTGATATTAAAATGAACTTTTGCAACAGATCTCTGGCGTAATCGACATAGTTTAAAGCATTTTTTGAACATAACATTCGACATGCTACATGTAAAAGAAGAAAATGCTTGTACATATTTTTATCAAGAATATCTTTAAATAGAATTGGCCCGCCGAATAATAAAATAAATCTATAATCAGTTACTTTATAATTTAAATGGCACGATACAGGTCTAATTTTTCGGTCAAACTCGATTGGCTGCTGGTGTTTTATAATTTCCATTTTCTTGCATAATTCGCTTCTCTGCTCTTGACTTAATTTAACATTTAAATCATTAGACATCAACGCATCCAATATTTTTTTCATGACTCCTAAAAAACAAAGATGCATTGAGTCGAGAATAAATTGATCTATCATATTCAATGATGGCTGTATTAATACAAGCGGAGAAACAATTGTGTGATGTTCGATATCGTTGAAATTTCTGAAAGTTTCGTCAGTTCGTTTTTCACAATTATCTTTGGTTATGTATATGTCATTGTATTATTAATTTTTATTCCTTCAATTGTACACCGTTCACAGCCATATTTAGCATTGTGTCCTTTTATACCTTTCAAGAATGATCGAGCCGGTGTATCACATACAAAACATTTGATTTTTACTTCATATTGTTTACCGTTAATATCTATGCCACTATGCTTAAGATCGTTAATTTCTAAAATAAATTGACATAAAAATTCTTCTACATCCTTCGGTTTATGATTTCCTGAGTATAATGCTGTGACAAATGGAGAATAAACGTCAGGTTCAAAGTAACTTTTACGAGTATAGGTCATACAACTTTTGCACTAGATTTAAATAGTTTTATGCCATCGATATTAATAATTAAATTTAAAGTATTGCTGTTATGTATATCGTTATTTACACAAGACTGTAGGCCTTGTTTAATACCAAAGTAAGTAAATTGTCCCTCAGTGCCGTCAGAATCTGTCATTGTAATTATTTTGTATGTTGCAGTATTTGTCTGCAAAAAGGTTTTTGCGGATTTTGGCAATGAAGGCATTAACCTAGTCCGAAAAATATTTAACAACTTATCTAAAGTTGATTGCGGAACTTGACATTCTAAAGCCCATGCTCTTAATTTTTTTTCTTTGTCTGCATCAGTGGGTTCAGTTTCTACGTGAGTCTCAGGATCATTAACATCATTATCTTCGTTTTCTTCACATATCTCATCGTTGTTACACTCACTAGAATCATCACTATTAGTGTCTTGATTATTAATTTTATTTTCAGAAACTGAAATAGATTCTTGGGTGTCAAATACAGGTTCTTTTCTTAAATCATTGGAATTGCCACAATGCTCTTTTATTTTTGATTCCACGCCGCTCCTCAATTTTTTGTTTTGCCTATTAATACTAATTTGTTTAATGTGTCTTTTCAATTTTAAAGTATTTCTATATTTGGAAGCTCTGTATCTCGCAGAGAATAATTTCAAATTTTTATCCATTTTAAAACGTCTAGATTATTTAGATATATTTGCAGACTGCAGTACATAAATCTCTCGATTCCTAGCCTAACTAATTCCGAATGTCATATTTTATGCCAGAAATGTCATATTTCATGTCAGAAATGATCTTTTCCCAGCCTTGAATAGCCCTGACTAGAAGTAGTCTGGAAAAAACTAGCGCCAGACTACTTCTAATTAGACATTATTAACATAGTATATTTCTAGCACCTCGTTAGAAATAGCTTGACGCTGATTCGCGCCACTTCAAAACTAAATTTATTATATTAAATAGGGATACAACATGACAGTCAAGATAGGAGCTAGCTAGACATCAGGATCTAGCGTGGCACTTTCTACCAGGGAATATAACATAATTAGATAATTATATGAAATCAGATTATACACACATGACAGGAAAGTAAATATAATCCATAATACTAGTAGGAACAAGTTGAACTTTAATCAGACCAATCCTCCTCATTTCTGCAAATTAATAGCATTTTGGTTAACATTTTAAAATCTTGGTGAAATCAATTTATTACCCATCACCATCGCCAAGCTTCAAATGGCAAAGCAAACGTATTGAATAACACATTGCTTTTTGCTACATAAACAATCTTTTAACAATATAACGCAATAATGCGATTATAATTATACATATGTAAAGATTAGTGAGGAAAAAAAAAGTACAAAGGTAGTATTGACATTTTCGAAAAACTTCACTCACACATTGTGCAGAATTTACGCAATTAATTAATACGCAATTAATGCAAACTAAATATTTTATATTAATTGCTATTAATTTTTAAAGGACTAGAATTATTATTTCTTAGCTCTACTCAAATTTAATTTGTTCTATAAATGTATAACAAACGATTAGCTCTATCTATTATTAACAAAACTAACAGAATTATTCATTTAGACTATTAATCATGGCACTATAAACAAACTATAAATATTCAATTCTCCATTTATGGCTGCTTAGAAACCCATAAAAACACAATTAGAGAATAAAACCCATATTTAAAAATTCCATAAATAGAAATATATTAATAAAGCATCTTATTAGTAAAAGGCATGAAATGTGTGCGATCAATATTAGGCAATAAGCGAATCAAATCAAAAAGACATTTCATATTCACTTTCAATCTTGCAAAATTGTAAAAGCTCTTTCCCTTGATCCATCAGAGCGAGATAATATCTGCAGCTTCAATAAAAATAATTTTTATTTTCGAAAAAATCTAAGCTGTATTATGTATAACTTTATATATATAAATACCGATATTTGTAATAAATACTTATATACATCCATTTTTCAGGTAAGTTGAAAGCACGTAGTTCAGCACACTTAAGGACACACCACACACATAAAATAAATTAAATACTTAATATAGACCCGTGTCTAGGACGGCTGTTCTTTTTCTCCTTCCCACGTGGCTGCTCCTTGGCCGTTCCACCGACATTCAGATTTAATTGCGCGGTCGACGCCGTGGTTGCCTCGTCGTCCGACTCAATTGGACTAATCCTAATCGCTTGATACCATTGATTCGTCAAATCAGTCATTTGCGACTTGCAATCCTTCAACTCCTGCTGCGTGAACCGTCTTGTGAAGAACGGAATGAAAAATTTCAGATCCCATCTCGCGAAACCGCGAATCCGTGACTGCAGGAAGGACACTTCCATTTCCTCCTCTGTGAGTTCCGACAAGTGCTCGGAATCTATAGTTTGTCCCTATAAAACAATATATGATATTTACATGTGCATAAAAATGTTATACATTAATTGTTCGCTCAAGAATTTTTTAATTACCCATTCTCTGGTTTTACTCAAGGAAACTTCCTTATCCTTCTTCTTTCTCCTGCTGCTGTTCTTTTGCTTCTTTTCGGCCCTTAAGAATTTCAAAAGGGGCATAGTAGATCCACCAAATATCAAGGTCGTAAACAATACAATGATGAGTGTAGTTGTTATAATAACGTGGCGCGTTTCGTCGCTGAAATCTAAATGAAGCGACAACGCATACGATATAGCACCCCGCAATCCACTAAACCACATGATGAACATCATTTTCCTCGTGATTTGATGCTCACGGAAACGATTAACAAGTAAGGCCAACGGGAATATATTGGCGGCTCTTCCGATCAAGCACAGAATTAAAGACCAAACAACTAATGCTGGTTCAAACTGTGAAAAAGAATTTAATTAAAAAATTTGAATGCAAAATAGACATATATGTATATGCTACACTTACCCTATGTCTAAAGCTAAATAACGCTAAACCCAAATACGCAAAAACGCAAGTCTCAGCTATAAAGGCTAATGTTCGCATTGTTTGCTGCATTGTGATTTGGGTAACAGTAGACAAGTTAAAATGTGTATAGTGTGACATGACGATTCCATTGAACAGGATTGCCATAATTCCTGTAATAATAGTATAATATTATAATAAAAAATGATAAAAATATAATAATTTATTGCACAATTATTATAAATCTTTACCTGACAATTGTATGCCTTCTGCTAAAACGTATGGAGCATATGTAAACACTAACATTATACCAAACTCCAAAGATGGATTCTTCCTGAGATCTACATGCTTCAACAGCAATGCACTTATTAAAGCAAAAACTACGCCGATTCCTGCTGATGCGAAGAACATGAGGCAAAATCGATTCAAGCCAAGTATAATAGCTTCACTGGTAGTTGCTGCATTGTTGGATTCTAATACTGATGTTGTCAATACAATAGAGATGGCATCATTCAAAATTGATTCTCCAAAGACCAACATATTTAAGACTGGATCAACATCAAGAGCGTGAAAAATTGCGACTGTGGCAACAGGATCAACCGCTGATATCAACGATCCAAATGCAAAACTCTCGACAAAACTCAGTTTGTACGCCACTTGCGCCAGACCTAGTAGATATATGCCAGCGCCAATGACAAATGCAGAAATTGCTGTTCCAAAAATAGCAAATACTAAAATACTGCCAATGTTTTGAAAGAAGTTTCCTTTATGCAAATTGTATCCTGATTCAAATATAATAGGTGGTAGCAAGACCAGGAAAAATGCAGTTGGCGAGAAAGCTTCTTCCTTCCTCCAGTTTGCTATATTTTGATTGGACATGAGATTTATAATCATGCCTATTGCAGCACCTAAGAAGACTATCACCACCGACTCGGGAAGGTACTGGAAATTGAATTGAAGCATCAAGTGTATCAATAATATGCCCAGCGCTAAGACGCATAATACAAAGAATATGGACATCGAACTGTTGTGTTCTTCCTCAGCAGAACCCTTGTCGGGAAGAACTGGTTCCGGGGCAACGGTGGTTGTGCTTGTATTCGTTGTGTTGACGACATCTGGACTCTGTGATGATACTGAGATGTCCGTGGTATTCTTATCGTTGACAGGACTCGGCGGCACCGTGCTGCCTTTTTCGGTCGTCTGATCGCCTGTGATATTGTTAAGCTGTGTTGTATTTACAGGTGTGACAGGATGTTGTACGGTGGTTGACGAACTGGTCTGATTAACGATATTGCTTGTACTATTCGCAGATCGTGCTGTACTGAATAATTCTGGTAAAATATTTGCTGTGACATTTGTCGTAACATTCGAAGCATTCGGACTATCTGTCACTACGGAAATAGTTTTATTATTGGCATTAAATAATCCTATGATATTTTCTTTTTGGAGGTTAACTGTGGTCTCGCCGTGTGACACATGTTGCGATACGTCACACAGTAGTAAAATTCCAACGATGAGACTCCACTTGCACTGTAGTACGGAACGTGCTTGAAACATTGCCATTTTTTAAAGACGTAACATTATTTCGCAAATAGCAGAAGCAATTTTACGATTTTTTCTTCCCTTACGAAAGCCGAATATTTTCTTTTACAATTCTCAGGTGATGTTACGAGAAATGACGTTTAACTCAGAGCGGCCAGATTTGAGTCGCAAAAAGCAAGCAGCATGAATGGAAGGGATACCGCACACGCGCAAGCCACCTGAGATAAACGTGCGAGACAGAATAAGCATCATTCTTTAGCTCTTTCTCTCTCGGCTCGGAACCATTTTTAGCTAAAATGGTTTGAGTTTTGGCTAAACTTTTATAGCGTTTTCGATTATACAGGATTTGAACGACCCAGGGTTGATCAATCACTATTTTACTATAAATGCAAGTCTTTCATTGGTGGAGAGGTTGCAATGACGTCATTAACCAACCCTGGGTCGTTCAAATCCTGTATAATCGAAAACGCTATTAGATTACTTGCGTATGTGTGCGGTATTCATTTATGATTCATGCTGCTTGCTTCTTGTGTCTCAAATCTGGACACACTGAATTAATGGCCGGTTTATGCTTCGGTCTTAATCTTAATCTTAAGAGTTGATAACGTAGAATGCCATAAGGGCGTTTATACTTCCCTAGTCTTAATCTTAGTCTTAATCTTAATCTTGGAAAGATCCCATCTTTTAACTTTAGTCCCTAATGTCCTAAGGCCGGGCCAATGAGGTAAGTCTGACGTCCGACGCAGCACGAAACCGCGCGAAATAATGGTTTTCGATTTTTGTAAAATACGAAAATGAGTGATGCTGATTTAATTGAATATGTCCAACAATTCGATGTTGTTTGGAATAAAAAAAATCCAAATTATAAAAATAAATTAGTGGTTAGGTTTTGTTACATTTGCACATGCGTAGTCCGAATTTCCAGGGAAGCATAAACGAGTCCTTAAGATTAAGTTAAGACTAAGACTAAGATTAAGATTAAGACCGAAGCATAAACCAGCCATAAAACATTCAAGAATGATGCAATATTCACATTGCGTCTGTATCGTGTGTCATTCGATGCCCAATAAAACTTGGTTTTTAGAAATTAATATAGATTTAAAAATGAAGTCCTTAGAAAGCGCATTTTCCTATCGAATACCGAATGTCGTATGTGAAATAACGTACGCAGTGTGAATCTTACATAATGGAGAATCAGACCACCCCCCCTCCCCTCCTACATTTTTTATTATATACGGTGTTCCTACAATGACATAAATTGCAAAAAAAACTTAATATCAAATTATAGAAAATAAATGTACAGGGATTAAAATAAGTAAGTAATAAAATTTCTTTGCATGTAAATTAATAATTTAAAAAATATTTTATGCTTTACTTTTGTACTGCATTTCGCATCTTCAAAAAAAAAGAATAAATAAAAATAACTGCCACAATAGAGAATGATACTATATTTATTATATTTTTGTATCATGTTTATCTGCTTTCAAAGGTTCATTTACATATTCCCATGCTAATCCAGTACGACCAATTTCTGCCGGTTGCACAGGATCCTCACCTAATCTTTGTTCGACACCCTTCCAGGATCTATTTTGTAAATATTGAGCCCCAGCTTTACCAATAGCAACAACACCTGGCAAAAAAATTGGTATGTTAATTATACTGTTGCATTGCTATAGAATTACTCTTTAAACTATTAAACTTATTATTTAAAAAATGTAGAAATTTAAAGAATGACTCCAGTAAAGGAAAATATTTTTTAAATTAGTATATATATAGAAAAATCATAAGAATGTAGAGAAGCAGAATTTCTTAAATCTTTTAAGAAACTAATACAACAAGAACTTAAAAGTTAAATATATCCTTATTAGAAGTACGATTTCATGGTTGTAGTTTTTTGAATTTATCAATTTTTTAAATTTAAGTAAATTAAGTATACCTGGTGTACGTATTGTCAAAGCATTCATTTGATCGGTACATAAATCATCCTTGTAGTTTCTAACATTGCTAGTAATAAGAGAAACATCTGAATCCATTGATGGCTTAAAATCAACGTAGTGAGTTCCGCCAGGTAATATCTGCCGGAAATCCATAAAATATTGTGGACAAAATTCCCTCGCACTGTTAAATGCCAATTCAACTTCGTATGGTGTAAGCATTGGCTTCAAGAAATCTCTCGAGTCGAATACTTCATTCTCTGGGCAAGCTATCACAACAAAAGTATCAATCTGAAAGAAAAGATTCAAAGCATTGATATAAGTATACAAAGAGATAAAATTCAAGCCAAGTATATTTCATTACATTATACAATTTGATGTACCTCTGGAAAATTCGCAAGTTTGGCAGGATTTATTTTTCCCACATTAAGAATATAAGATTTCTTATTCATTTGTTTAAGAGTTTTTTTCACTGTGTTTATAGCTGTTAAATATTCTTTAATACCCAATGTCGCAACTACAATTCCCACAACATGAGCATCTTTCAATGTTTCAATTAAGAATCTCCTTCGTTTCAACCAAGGGGTGTTCAGTGCTTCAAACTCATTAATTTTATTATTTGTAAAACAATACCATCTTTTCACAGGTATACCCATTGCTAATAACACCAGAGTTTTTCCTTCTTCTCCCAAAAAGAAACCTTCATAATCCTGTATATTATATCCATTCTCTAATGTGTAATGTCTACCTAAGACAATTGGAGCTGAACTTGTTTTTATATCAGTATATTCCACATTTGATGTACAATTCAATTTAGACAAAACTAAATGTTTGTATATAGGTTTCAATACATTATATATATGTTCTGTAATTAACATGTAATGTATATTATATCTTATTAATTACAATCATCTTTTTTATTTTATAATAATAATTTAAACATTTACCAATTTTATGTGCATATTCCACATCGTAGAAAAATAAGATTTTCCTTGTGCAATCTGGGAAAACTCGCTCGAATTCATTACTGAGTTCTGTCGCATCAAATTGATTTTTCGGCAAAATGTGTAAAACTGGCAAGCGAGTGGTAGGATTAAGGCAAGCATGTCCAAAGTGTATTATACCGTCCGCGTTAACATGCTGAGCCGCTATTTCGTCGACACAACAGCTACCGCAAGTTGTATCGCCTAGGATATATACTTTCTGTCCTACGTCTTTTTCTAAACGTAGTACAACATCTATGGAATCTGGCAATAAGCTATCTGGGAATTGGAGACATACCTAGAAATAAATTAGTTTTAAATAAACGGTTAAAAATAAATTAACTTATTTATAGTTACGTATAATATAATAATAGCTACAACTATTCAGCTAAATGTATATACACATTATATATATATATATATATATATATAGGTTAATACTCCAACCAAATGTAATGTTATCCTTTTTAACTTCAACAAATGACTATTATTACTATCGTTTTTGAAAATAATTATTTATCTACTATTTATATTCTATTCATAAAGAATATAAACTATATTTTTTCTGAAAACAAGGACTTCACTGAGCAAATTGCATTGACATGTAACCTCAATTTCACGATTTTCGCAATTCATGGAACAGACGATTAATGGCAAAAAACTATGTTATTTAAATAAAATTTTTGACTATTATTTTTTAAATATATGTATATATGAGATTATATATCTTTTAAACCTGTTTTAGAGTATTTGTTTGAATCCATTGAGCACATTTTTTTACATCATATGGATCATATGGATCATCTTGAACACTTGTTACTTCAATGGCTTTTATTTTGCTTTCTTCGGACTCTTCAACCGCTGACGAGAACATATTAGGACTGATGTTAAAAATTAATTACACAAACTTTATTTACGTTTGATGAATTACTGGAATTCTTACGAATCTGCGAGTTACCATTGCAAATCTGTTCAACTGCACTTTCTACACTTCTATGTGTATTTCTCTGAAGAAATAAAATATATTTTTATAATTGTTTTATTTTAAATGCATAAAGAGTAAAAAAAATGAAAAAATTGAATATTCCAATTTATTATTTCCAATTACTTTTTTTACATTTTTGTATTCAAATTGAATATGCATGTATAGAAATGTACTAATATAAATTTGTATAAAAAATATTGATAAGTAATAATAAATAAATTAACATAAATTGGTTATTATAATTTTTTAGATTTGTATACTTTGTTTTATAATAAGTTCCATATTTGTATGACTCAAAAAAATGCTATATAACAAAGTTTTTTATGTTATATTGAAAGAAAGTTAAATTTGTTGAAATAATGCAGTTTTAAATCTTTGATCTATATATAGACATTGTCATTATTTATCAAATATAAATCAAGAGCATCTTAGTTGAAAAAATAAAAAATAATTAAGAAAAATGGAAGCTTAGAAAAAATGGTAACTGTTTAAATATATATGTACTTCACAGGAAATATAGCCGAATGTGTTTGCATTGTGATATTGGGAACAAATAATATTTTCAATGTAAGTTTCTACATTGAACAATGTATTATAAACTATTCGACTCTATCATTTTTTTATGCACTAGTTATTTAGTTGATTGCTTTGCTTTACAAACTGTATTATGCAAACTTTGCTTATATTTCATTATTATTAATCATTCTTGCACATTATGTAAAAATATGACAAAATGTAACATCAGAAAGAAATCAAGTTGGATTTTACACAGAATGTATAATTTTGTTACTTATGCAGATATTGCATTTTATACGACACGAAAATATGATACTTTTTGGGTGTGCTGATAATAATTATAAAATAAAATAACTTTAAATTGTATATGTGTATATATATTATCACCGTACCATTTTTTGTCTTCACTCTCGTCAGCGGTTGTATTGTTACATATCTCGTCGTTAATGCCTAATAATTGCGACATGCGAAGTACATAGTTCAAACGCAGCAGACAGGGATATAGGACAATCTATATGCGTACTCGTGAAATATCGGCAATTTATTAGGATTAAAAGAACTTTAGCATATTCAAACTTTTAAATCTGTGTAGAATTCATTAAGTCACGATTGCCGTCGAGAGTGTAATTGAACGTTGTATGTACAAACGATTATTATTTCTTATTGTAATACATTACATAGTTTTGCTTGTTTTTTTTTTCTGTATATACGTCAGTCTTGGATTGCTTTTGCCAGAAAACGCTTTATGTTTCCACTGTATGCAGAGAGTCATCCTAGTATATGTAGAAAAAGAATACGCGATTTAATTCACATAATAAAAACTTTATCGACAACAATGTTATCCCACTGTCTTTCAATTTCATAAAAAAATCGCTTGTTAAAAACGGAAATCCCGGTTTCTTTTTCTTAATTAAGATTACAATTATTTACGTGAATTTCGTATACATGCTACAATAAAATTAACAATAAAACCATACATTGGGTATGGGAATGTATATGCTGCTAATCAATTTCGACAATTATAGGCATTCTCAAAGGCTCTAACAATTATTATGTGATTATCCTTTTTCCACATATAAACTCTTCAACATGCATCTGTCGATTACCCACACATCTATTGCGAGTTTGTATGTAATGCCAAAAAAAGTCGTAAAACGCTATACACTATTTAGAAATTGTCTCTTTGATTTTGCGTTTTAACATTGAGACTGCATATACATAAATAGAAATAAATCCAAATAATACGCACAAAAGTTCTATGTTTCTTTTTTCTCTTTATACAGAATGATTTATTATCAGTGATGCAGTTAATTTGAAAAACATAATAAATATACATAAAAAAATAAATATATAATATTAAACTTGTTTTATTCTACGCTTTTGATGTTTTGTTTTCCAAACATAATTCAATTTTATTTAATATCTCTGTGTTACTTTTTCATAAAAATTCATGTTTTAGTTATTCCTGATAAAAGATCATTCTGTATTTCATTAATACACATTTGCATATCGCATTTCCATGATTTTATATATCAGTCTCTTACGCTACTACTTTCTCTTTGCTTTTCCCATTTGCTTATCATCGATTCCAATAATGGTGTTATTAATCATAGCAATAGTAATAATAATTCTGAGAATAGATCTCAATAACAATAATACAAATAATAGTTATAATCATATTAATAATATACCTTAAAAACGTATGTACAATATTCACCGACCCACTTTTTAAGTATCGATAAGATCCTTCTACAAGTACTACTGATAAAATGGAATAAGTTGTTTTAAATAATTACTTTTTACAAAATTACATTACAAAGTGTGGCATATTGAAAAATCTGAGCGAGTTATCTATCTAACCTATTCACATTTACAGCTGCTAGAATTAGATTTACGCAGTGGCTTTATTACAGCTAGACTACTGGAAAGTATACATGTTTTTTTTTTTATATTATGAATAATTATTGCCATTGCAAAAAAGAATCTTTGATAAATCGAAATATTCAATACCACCACATGTACACATAATCAAGTTTGCCTATGCTGAATAATGCATAAATAAAGATCATATGATTTATATAAATAAGGTCACATGATTTATACAAATAATTTAGTAATCATCTGTACTTTAGTACTTCAAGATATGCCGTATCGGAAACAATCTCTCGAAAGATAGTTGCATCATCGATACAAACACAGTACTTAATGATAAGTAGATTCGTCGTCCACAAAAAAAAAACATGAAAAAATCGCCTTATAGTTCTTCTGAAGTTCTCAAGACGTACAATTATCTCAATATTCACTATCAACTTTCACTTAACATACTTTACTAAAGGAGGGTCACGAGCCTAAAATGCTGCGAACTGCTTGGTCCAGCGCAGTATCCTTCGAATCATTGGACTGTGACGACGCGCTACCGCTACTACTGCTGGACAACGTATTCGTGGGACGTTTTTTAAGATTGAGAATGCTGTCAATGGCAGACTGTACTTGTGCGGTGATTTCGTCGTGCTCGTTGCCGGCATTCCCGCTTTCGCTACTCGTCACGTGAACGGTACTACTTGGACATTGCGCTTGCGAGTGCAAAGCTAATCCGTCTAAGCTGTCGGTATCTTCTAACAAATCTCGCTCGAGATCAGTAGCGCTACTCCAACGCCTATCGAACGGAGCTACATCCTGCTCGCAATTGTCTTTCATGATTTTGTTCGAGATACCGGGCACACTCATATTTGCAACATTTGCACGAAGGCACTCGCCGTTTGCTCGTGTTCTTTCGATTTTCGACGACCTCGTAACAGCACACACACTATTATTACCACTGATATTACTGTTTTTACACTTCAAGGGGTCCGTACTGGATTGATACACTTCCAGTTCTTTCTGGATTTCCAGCCACTCGTCGTAATCGCCGCTGGTACTGCTCGTCGTTTTGATCACTGGTTTACATTCCATTTCGTCACTCGGGAAGTCATCTTCCAATTCGCGCTTCACAGATATGTTCACCAAAGATGATGATGTTGTTAAGGTCGATTTGTCCTCTTCCATAAGGCCAGGTTCAACTTTTGGCACCAATGGCTTTTCTTCCTTCTTAAACTCTTCTGCAATTTTATTTGTAATATATAAAATATAAACATTTTTTAAAATAAGGCATTACAAATGTATTTAATATTTGCAATTGTATTGATTTAAAAATGTGTTATTACCGGTAACTCTCGCCTCTTGTTCTCGTAACTTATTAAGGATGCTTTGTTCTTCAGAGACAAAAGTCCTATCAATCATCATCAATTCTGAGGTCCTCACCTCACGCTGTAATTTAATTTTAAGGATGTTAGTGCAATAATACTCTTAATCGCTTATATAAAATTTATCAAATAAAGAAGGAAAATTTAGAATATGTAGAGTTAAATAGTAAAAAGAATGAAGTAATTTAAATATTTCAAATTACCAAGTTTGAATATTTTTATGCATAATTAATGTGCAAGAATTGAATTTAACCTTTCAATTTTTGCACTTAATTTATGAAGTTTTTTTGTTAAATGTTAAATCATTTTAAAAACCCGTTATTTAAAAGCTAAAGGTTTTCTTATACGAATTATAATTCTTATTGAATCACATGAAATAAGTGATATATCGATAGCTAACGTAGTTATACATATATAATCATTACATAAATAAATTATATTATCATTCATACCATGCTTTCCATTAGAAGAAGATACGTGTATTTATTCATCATAGCACTGAATTTGCTCAACAAGTGTTTCGACGTCTCCTCGAATATCTCGTCCGCTTTCGCCAAATCCTTAGTGCTGAGTACTTGCTCATTTAAGCAATGGTATCTCACCAAACGTTTGCAGGCATCAAGTTTGCTTGAGAATGGTGTATTCATATCCGGACTGATCGCACCACTTTGATCGATTTTTAGTTGCTGTTCCATTCTGTAAGTAATCATACGATTAAATATTGATGCCATTGAATCTTCAGAGACGATATTAAATGTAACAGAAGCTTATGCTTAAATACATACACTTCGCTACGATTTATCTGCCTACAAATCGGACTAGTCGCACGTCTTTTTACGCCTTGCCTTGGGCTTATTAGTGGACTGCTACTAGGACTGACGAGTTGCTTCGTCGCATTTCCGCTAGTGTTTACAGGACTCTGAATCCTCTGTGTTCCCTTGCCCATCATTCTAGGTGAAGTCACTTGACCTGCAGGAGAGCCGCTTTGAACCTGAACTTGGATGGGGGAGGAAAGTTCTTGTTGTTTCACGGGACTCGGCGTCTGTATGGTCGCTTTGATGTCCAACGGATCCGTTTGACACTGCGTGGATTGTTGCATGCTCGTCGGTTGCTGTGTTTGGACTTGGGTTAATTGTTGCGCGTTGCTCTGTAATTGCGGGGTTGCTGTGGTGGAAATAGGCGGCGAGAAGATTTGCATATTCGCGGAGGACGGATTCAACATCTGATTCCCGTGATTCTGATAAAACTTGTGCTGCTTGGTGTGCGTCTGGTGCATACTCTGTGTCGCGGTGTTCGATATAGGTGATTGCTGCACACTCTGTGGCACCTAGAACAATTATGACATTCGGCAATAATGGCAAAATGTACAAAAATATATAAACAAAAAAGTGAATACTTAAACGATGTTTGGCTTACCGTAATATTATTAATGAAATTATTGTTCGAGCTACTGGGAATTGTTATGGATGTAGTTGGATTTAGATTTTGAGATGTAACCGACATAACAGCAGAAGTCTGAGTCTGAGTTTGCGCTGCTGATGTTTGGCTCTTGAACGAATTTTGTGGATTTATATTTGATGCCACTGTTGAAACTGCATTTACACTGAATGTTGTTTCAGCAGGCTATATGGAACAAATAGAACACAAATTGTACAAACCAAGATTTCGTATATTCTTAGTTGTTATCGCGTTCTATAAATATTGTCATCTGTTCTCTTATGTATGTACTTACATTATTGACAGAATGTGTAGTAGTGCTCACGATTTTTCCAGTAGATAATATCTTCGATTGTTCTTGGTATAATTTTGCCAGTATCGCCTGATCCGATGACGTGCCAGATTTTCGAGATAAAATAGTTTGGATTTGTGACTGAATGTTTTTCAACATTTGCTGCTTTTGAGCAGGAAGCTGAATAGTTTGTACTCTTTGTACCATTTGACCGTTTGACGGGACTGATACATGACTGCCGGTAGAAGACGAAACCAAAGGACCATTGGCAATGATTTGAGTCGTTTCGGTCTTAGCAGAATTTGTATTCTGAGATACCGTTACGTTTGTTTTATTAGAATTGTCAATCTTTTGTAAATTGGATGTATTCGCCGTGACCATTGTTGGCCGAGTAACAGTTACTGTCTTTGTCTAAAAAATAAAAATAGATTAAATATCTATATTTAATATTCCTATTATTAAGATTTTCCAATTTTAATGTATTTTTAGAATTTTGAGCGAGAATTAAGATAATATCGACAACCATTTGTCTTAAATAGGAAATAAATAAAATAAAGAGATTAAGAGATTAAAAATAAATATATATATATACATACCTGTGAATTTACAACACTTTGAGCGGTCACTGCAACTTTCGTCCTTTTCACGATTTTTGCTTTCTTTGGTTGATTATTATTACCCAAGTTTCTAATTTGCTGTTGATTTAGGTTGTCAATAAATTGACTAGGAAAATTCGAATTTTGAATCTGTATATGCTGCGGCATCTGAGATGGCGCAGCCTGTACTACAATGTTCTGAATATTATTTTGGATTGTCGGAGCTCCACCAGAACTGTTCACGATTATCTGACTCGTCGGGGTGTTAATTTGGACGCCTTGCAAGTTCTGATTATTCGAATCCGGCTCGCCGATCACTATCTTCTGCGTTTGATTTTGATTCTGCGTCTGATTCGTCGCGTTCAACTGTCCAGCCAAAAACTGTTGCAAGAATTGCTGACTAATCACCTGCATCTGGCCATTTGCGTTTGCGATTAACAGCTGATCGTTGGGATTCAAGTTGCTTAGCGCATTCAAAATTTCAGGTGTAATTTTGGGCGCGTTATTCAGTATGTTGTTCGCCGCCGAATTCAGTATATTTGCACCTTGCGATTCCACCTTTTGAGATTCATTTTGCTGGGTGGTGTTGGAAGTGGGAGTAGTTGTGATCAGTATATTTTGATTCTGATTATTTTGTTGCGTATTGATCCCTTGCTGAACGACATTAGCAGAGTTCTGGGTCTCAAAGTGATGCGCATTAACAGAGGCAAAAGTATTCGCTGTCATGAGCTTTTGCTGCTGAACGTTCACGTTTTGCTGTACATTAACATTTTGCTGGACACTCGTGTTGTGCAAAACAGTAGACGTATTTTGTTGTTGCAAACTGGTCAGGACATTCTGCTGCGCATGAGTTGCGTCTTTGATACTTGACTGCAAATTTTGTTCAATATTCTGAACGTTCCCAGCTGTATTTTGCTGTAAGACATTGATTGTATTTTGTTGAATACTTGCATGTTGTAAAACATTCATGGTGTCATGCTGTTGCATGGTGTTGCAAGAGCTTTGTTGCTGCAGTATGTTCATGGAATTGTGATGAATGTTGGAGCTCTGCAAATTTTGTTCAAATATTTGTTGCACGTTTTGAGTTTGTACGGTTTGCGCAGTAATCTGCTGATTATGTTGAAACATTGGCGAGTCCTGATGCAGCACTAGAGTCTCCTGTTGACTTGTTTGCTGAAGACTTTGATTAGTTTTAGATGTGTGATCGGTTTGTACTATTGAACTATTCGGCAATGATTTTTGCATGTGAATACCATGTTGTTGCTGTTTCTGCTGCTGTTGCGCTTGCTTTCCCAGATTTTGTCGTACATTTGTGGTTATGCAAGCATTCGTGAGACGTACCTGACTAGATTTTTGCAGAGAAATGTTGGAATTCTGTTGATTGGAGCTTGCTTGGTTCGTATTGGATACTCGAGGACTTTGAATACTAAACGTTGTAGGCGAAGGTTTCACAGATAATATTTCAGAAGCGTTTAGAGTAGTGTTATTGCTCGTCTGTGACAAAGTAGGATTTGAGGACTGAATATTCTTAGCTTGTATCAGGTTTTGTACGTTGACATTCTTCGCCGTTTGTATTTCCAGTGATTGCAATCCGAGGCTACTTTGAATGCAGATATTCGGCAGCGAATTCGTCTCTTGAGGAACAATGTTTGTATTCTTCTGTTGATTCGGCTTTGAACATATCTGGCCGTGATGTGTATTAGTGGAAACGACATTTTGTGAGCCTGTAGAACTCACAGTGTTGGAGACTTGATTTCCATTGGACAAAGGCGATTTGATGAATTTTTGCTTCTGCTGAGTTGTGTTTTGCGTATTAGATTGTGGGGTGATTTGCTGCGCCTGACCGAAAATTTGCGAGATTTGTCCACCACTTTGAGACAGAGATCGTATTAAAGCTTGAGCGGTCGCTTGATCTATCTCGGGTTGATTGGGCTCTGGAGTATGATGTAGAACGATTCTACCGTCTTCTCCAACCGCTAATCGCAATTGTCCCGATATTGTATTCTGCACAGGCATCTGAAGTTGCGCGACGAGCTGACTGTTGAACGTTTGTGACATAGAAGCTTGTGTGTTCGTTGTATTTGTTGCAGGTACTTGAGTTAGACTCTGAGCAGAACTACCAGAGACTGCTCCTTGCGATGGAAGCTGATTCAAAGATTGTCCGGCATTGGCTTCGCTTGTTTGCACTTGACAAGGAACTTCGGTTTCAGTTGTCAGCTCGGTATCAAAAATATCATCATCATCTCCGATACCCGATATCTTCATAATACTGGCAAGATCCAACTTCGGTGGTTCGTCCTCTTTTCTTTTGGCCTTTTTCTTCTTTTTCGCTTTCTTTTTAGGAGGCGGACATATATCTGAGACAGCTTGCGTGCAAGCAGCATTGCTAGTAGTATTGCCAGATGTGACTTGTGAGATTTGTTGTTGAGGACTTTGTACCATAGCGTTCTGAATTACGATAGAGTTGCCAGTTCCTGAATTGGCTGTAGAATTTAAATAGTTGGCACAAAATTAATATCAAATTTTTAACAAACCGGTTTGATGTTTAAACAACTAACAAGCAAATCCGAACATTCTGATTTTGATAAAATTACATACATATATGAAGAGTAAATAGATAACTTTAGAATTTAAAATTTTAGTTGCGGTCCAAAAACCATTCTAAGGGGTGAAATCACCCCTTATATGTAGAGCGGCTTTTTGCTTTTCACGATATATCATAATATTCACGATAAGATGTAAAAATTAAATATAAAACACAATTTTAGGCGATTCTAAGCATTTTTAAGATTCTAATACTTAATATAAAATTCAATATTATAATTGATTTCGCTACAACATTGTTACATGAAACTTACATGGCGCAGGACTAGATGGAGTATGTCTTATTACTGGAGAAGCAGCTGGAGGAAATCCATTGGGTACAGCAAAGAATGTAGGTGTAATCCCTTGTAATTGCATACCTTGTGCTGTGACAACTCTTACTAATTGTTGTTGCGTTAACTGCAATCATAAATTAAGCATTTAATTAGTTTCTCATTTTGAGAAGTTTTCTAAGAATGTGTTATACATGTTATATATTCAAAATACAATATATTTTCTCACTTTAAATAATTCTTATAATAACGACAAAAATGAGACCCATGTTTTCAATAGAAAGTGTATAGTTGTTTCAATATTTTATAAAAATTTAATAAGCAATGTGATTATGAATATGAAGATGCATGAATGAATGGATGAAACCATCACCTGTGCAGTATGTGTTTGTTGCTGGGCGTTTGCCGGCGTCCTTAGTATGAGCTGAACGCCTCCTGGTTGCTGCTGTACAATGACAGGTCCAGTCGATGGCAATACCTATGTATCAAATGTGACAAATATATAAAGCGTAAAGCAATTTTCTGATAATAGAAATGCATGTAAGCATAATAAAAATGCATCTCGTAGTAGATATCAAGCATATCAAAGTATCTCATATAATACAGCATGACATATATATTTTTATGTAATTACATAATGAATATGCAGGTGACAGATATAATCGAGATTAATAAAAAGCTATTTTGTAATAACCTGGTTCAGTACAGTCAAACCCTGCGCTGTTGGTATCATTGTCGCTGTGGTAGGATTTGGTTGGGGCCCAGCAAGAACTAGTTGCGGCTGAGTCTGCTGCGTCACCTTTAAAGAAAGAATATACAACTCAATATATAAAATAATTATCTCCTTTTAAATAATATAAAATAAAATAATATAAAATGGTCTTGTTATGTGATGCTAAATATAATCATTCTTTTAAGATAATAAACATATTTTATTATTTATTAAGATACAAACTGTGTCAGAGATGTAAATAATGCATTGAATGCAAATAGTGCATTGAATATTGTATTAAAAAATAAGCCGTACCTGGTTAGTGATTGTAGTCGTAGCACGCTGCGACTTTTGCTGAGAAGTAGTAGCTTGTTGATTTGGTGGTTTTGGCAGAATTTGCGGCGGTTGTTTGGCTGGTTTAGCGGCCGCTATTTGGATTTGCTGATTTCCGATTAAGTGGGTCCTAGTCACTAGTTGAGTCGGGGTAGACTGATAACCCTGTGGTGTACCATGAATTATTTGTAACACCTGCATCCCTTGTTGCAATATGGGTGTATTAGGCCGAACCTGAAGTGGGAAAAACACATATTGTATAAATGTATTAACAAATAAATAGATATAATATTTTTAAATAATATTTTATGCCTAAAGTAATATTTTTTTACTATTTGCTAATAAGTTGACAACATCAATAATTAATTAGCTTCTAATTATGCTTTAAATCTTGTTTTTTTCATTGGCATCAAGTTGATGTGGAGATATACAAATTTCTTTAAGTTATGTCTGTTATCTGATCAGAATATTTTGTGACGTTGCCACCGCCGCAAAACCGTCGCGATTTATATTAAAGTCGGAGATACTAATTTACTATTATGCTAACATCCTTTTTCTTAAAAAAAAATGTATTCAGAATTACTAGAATTATCCAATTATTATTCAATTGCTTTAAGATGCTATAAATAAATGTCGGCAATATTTAATGGTTCTATAAATATTGTCACAGAAAGCACATAAGAGCGACGTTATCAAAGAAAAGATAATATTACGGTAGTGTTTACTGAATTTAAATTCCATTCAGTCGTAAGAGATATAAAAATAATTTGTAGAATAAAGCAATATGATGTAATACTAAGTGTAAATCATAAAAAATTCTCGATCCTTCACTGGAATCTTTATAACAGCAAAAAGCAGAGCATCATGTAAATGTTCTATTTACATTATGCATCTTATTGCATTATGCATATTTGCATGCAAATAAATTAGTTTTTTTCGCATATCACCACTTATGTGTGACAATTATCGAATGCGATTACTAGTATATAGAATAATTCAATGTATAATGCAAAGAAAATATAAAAAAATGAAGGGTATGAAATGATACAAAGATTCTGACGAATGCACTAATGCATCTTATTCTAAAAACTAAAAGGTCAATAAGGTTTAATAAGCAGTTAAAGTCATTTGATTTGAATGTTATGCAGATAAGTGTTCTTACCACAGGTGGACCAGGACTACCTCCGGGTGCTGGACTTCTATTGTTGAGAGAGTTATTCCCGCTTAAAAGATGAGGGCTTTTTGCGGGAGGATACGGACTAAGTACAGGACTTTGTATTTGGCTAACACTCATCGGACTCTGCATGGGGCTTTGCATTTGTATGTTAAAGTTACTGTTCGAGGTCGACGTGCCGACTGGACTCGGACTATTCCGATTCGATTGTATCGAGTTCGAAGCTGGACTTCTAAGTAAAAGTCGATTAGGGCTGGGACTCGGCGTAGGCGGTGCTATATTAGACGCTGGACTTTTCAGGGGTATTGAGAACGGACTACCCGGTGAACTAATGTTTTGACCTTGAATATTTTGCATAGACTTAACGGTATTCATAGTACTGACCACATTCGACGATTGTGTTGTACCCGTTAGTGTTACTGACGCACTTAAGCCAGGGTTTATCCCCTGTGAATACTGTCGCTGTGGTTGAAATCCAGTCGACTGGGAGGAACTTAAAGAAGAAACATGACTCAATGACATAGTCGGTTCATTGGATATATGTTGTACATTCGATGTCGTTATATTGGATAAATTAGACTGCATTGTACCAAGGTGCGGTATGTTTGTAGTGAGATTCACGTTCGAAGCGTGATTCACATTTGCAGTGGTTGTATGGATTGAATCGTTGGGTGTGCTCGTGAATATGCTGGAACTTGCTCCAGAATTAGAGATTTGTGAGATTGTTGAAATGTTTGAGTTGGGATGTTGCGATATAGCAGAGTTTGGTACATGTGCTAAATTTGACGATCCAACAATGTGTGGTGCAATACTCTGAATGCTCTGTATTGTTTGGAATGGAAACTGTGCACTACTAGAATTCAAACTAGTTGGCGTAAGACCAGTTGCCAGGGCATTCGCAGGTCGATTGAGACCTTGATTTACACCAGAATTTATATTGGCGGCGGTCAAATTCGCATTCGGATTAATAGCAGATAAACCAGAATTCGCGGCGGTTAAATTAGTATTCAATGTAGTAAGACTTTGATTTACATTCGATGAGTTTAAGCTTGTCAAATTTGGATTTACACCGGTTAGTCCAGTATTCACTCCAGATAGTCCAGAATTAATGTTTGTAGAATTTATTGTATTGAGTCTGTTTATTCCAGTATTTACCCCCGTATTTATGCTATTCAAGTCTTGTCCCAAATTGGATAAACTGTTGTTAATATTGTTTGAGCCAATGTTGGACGTTAGATTAGAATTGATAGCATTTATGTGATTCAAGCTAGGATTTATCGCGGTCAGCCCTGTGTTTATGCTTGGCAGGCCCAAATTGTGCAGAGGATTTGATGTAGTGATAACATTGGAAGTGAGAGATGTAAGACTGGTATTTAGAAGTGACAGAGGCAATCCCATATTAAGGCCCACCCCAAAAGTGGGGGTGGCCGGGGGTAGGCCCATACCAGTCCCTGAGGGATTTATGGTACTCTGATTCAATTGATTCAACTGGTTTACGTAGACTATGTGATTTCCAGTTGTGGACCCATTCCCTTGTTCTTGTGGCTGCAAGAACAAGCAACGTTGGAGAAACGTTTTCCTAATGAAATACGCCAAATTAATTGTCAACAAACGACTTACGTTGTTTGATGTCTGTTGCAAAGCAAATGTTAGTGACTGGCCACTGGTATTCTGGGCTTGTAGCTGTTGTAATTGCTGCAACTATGGTAAAATTGGTGCGTATTAAATACTGATTAGAAGATTATTCAAAACTTCTTTTTCAAGAAAGATCTTTAACTACACTTTATTACATTTTCTGCATCTTAAATAAAATGTGTATTATTTAGAATTTGAGAAAACATGTAAAGAATGCACAAAATGTACTTGGTTCCTTGAAAAGATCGCAAAATGTAGAAACTCTAATTGAAATGAACATATCTATTTGTACAGATGTTTCTATATCTTACTTGTTGTTGGGTCAAAACGGTAACTGGATTATTACGACGTGCATTTGGGGAAGTTGTAGAGGATACTGAGTCCCCAAGAAGAGGGCGTGACTGAGGCTGCTGCATGCCCACGCAGCCCCTCTTTACTATGGGCAGCGTTTGGCCACCTTTTCAGCTTATTTTGCTCTTTCCTATTAATATAAAATCTACTTTACTCATCACAAATTCATGGAAATTTGTAAAAAGTAAAAAATGATAAAAAAGCATCTAAAATGCTATAATTTACAAAACTTTCTGAATTATACAATAAATCTCGTTTAGCAAAACTAATAGATAACATTCATGAGAGTTTAGTGAATGCAGTTAAAGTATATAAAATGTTTTGAAAACTAAAATATTCTTATTAATATTACGTATATAACTATAAATAATATTAGTTATATTATAAATATTGTTAGTATTATTGAAAAAACATATTTACCAAAATATTGTTTAACAGTCGAAGTGAGCAATATTTGCGTTTCGGCGCCACTCAACGTGTCTGCGACCTATATCTCCTGTTCCTGTCATGCATATAATTTCGTATTTCCTCTGAAGTTCACAGGCAGCACTATATTGATTCTTCAAAGTAGTTGTATCCTCATATATTGTTAACGTTGTTTTTAAAGATTTTGCTCCAATGTTAACCATGCTTCGCTGCTATAAGCGTCACTTTGTTGTATATTGAAAGTAGTTCTCTCTTGAACTACTTTATCCATTAAAGAATAATTGTTCAATTGCATTGTGGATATATCCTGACTTATATTTAAAGTGCATTTGCCAAAGGATTATATCCATTTATAAATGTAGCAATATTAAGTTTGTCCATGACAGCATATCTAAGATATGTACAAAAGACAGTATCAAATATCACTTTGTAAATAGTACTTCTCTCATATTACATGCTATCCCCAGTCCAAGAAATAGCTCACCGTCATTCTTGAATATTTGTCAAATGTTTAAAATCTTTCTATTGTTGTTACACACACTACACTTTTATTTGTACAGATTTTGCGTCGATCTTCTGTTCTGCAAAAAGAAAGGAAAGAATCAATGCAAATTCAAAAGTTTATATAAAAGTTAACATAATTTAGATGTTTCTTTCAGATTCTGTCGCTATTAAATCAGCCGAAATTATAAGAATTGCTTTTACAGATAGACATACATGAGAGATCAAGAAAGCGGTACAACGTATCATGTTTGATTGAGCGTTGCTATATTCCAGAGAGTGATAATCACGAGTTTGTACGCTAATTCTAAGAAATCGATCGATTTTGATAAAACGACAGGTATTTTAAGTAAAAATTGGACAGCTGGGAGCATATTTTGAGGTTATAACTGGCGCGCCTGTGTGCAAGCATACGTGCCACCAAGTTACCAATACACGCGTACGAGAAGAATCACATACACCTCACTCTCACTTACGAGTACCGCGGCGCGCGGTTGCACACAACAAAAGGCCCGACTGACAAGGCGTAAACAAAAGAAAACGCGAGCATCTGATGAAAATTTCGCGATCCGCCAGGCCAGGAGGGTCGGCGGACAACACTACGACACGCGTGTAAGGTGACTGACGCGCAAAAATGCGCGTAGCGTCGCGACGAAAAATTGTCAATATTACCTCCGCGAACGCGGTTTTGCCACCCCGTGTTTTCCTCCTGGGAATTTTCGCGGTCTCGTACGATTTCTCTTCGTGTAATTCCACGTCCCGGCGCGATCCGTCGCACGTCGCTAAACGAAAACAACGCACACGGGGCACGCGCGGCGAGGATATTCGACTGAAAATAGTAAACTTCAGTTACACGACAGTTCCATGTACGCGTTACACTATTCGGTGGCAACGGCCATCATGTAATTGTCAGGGTTGCCATTAGCGCAGGTCCATAAAATCCCAACCGTTATTGCCACTATTGGCGATATCTCGAATGAAAAGCACTGTAACTTTTTGTAACTATAAAGGTACACTCTGTGAAATTGCATAATCGCATAATGCATATGCTGAGAGATTAACCAATCGTGTGTCTAATGTAAATTTACACCAAACACATAATTGGTCGATTTCTCTGTGTTTATACATTATGCATAAGGAAATCTACCAATCCTGTGTCTATTATAAATTTATATATAGCTGCAAATAGATTTATTTTTTAAACATAATTTAGGATACAAATGTTACTACCATTATTTTTATTAATAATAAACAATTATTTGTTACATACTTATAAAGCTAATTTTATTCAAACAGAGATGTTAGAGAAATAATAAATTATAAATAATTTTATAAATAATTTTTCCAAGCATCTTCAAGGATTATAGAGATAGAGAACATTAGTTTTGAAAGATATACATTCTTTTTATTCAAAATACTAAGTAAGAATATATATTATAATACAGAAAGTTCTCAATTTAATTTTTATACAAATAAAAATTACACTCTATCCTCAATTACAAGTTATACTGTGAAGAAATTTATGAACCAATTAAGTATGCTACGACTGTTGCATGATCTAGCTTGCCAGGTATCATAGATATCTTTTCCAATGTCCTTTTCCTTCGAGATCTCTGCTCCTGCTTTGAAAGCTGTATCAATTGACCATCTTTATTTTGTCCATAATATAATTCTGTGTCTTCCAGAATCCGTCTTTTCGCGGCAGTTATGCGTACCTGTGGATAAATTTGGCGATTAGCATTGTACAAAACATTGCTTGAAAATAGTAAAACATTTTATGCTTACTGCAAAATCCAAAAGAAGTTCACATAGATGTTTGGCACTATTGCACGGCGGCCCTTCTCCAGAAACTCCACGCCGCAACAGATCCTCCATTCTGAGCAATGTGAGTTCGTGTCTTTGATAAGCTTCAACTACCGGTAGATTGTTGCTATTCCCATTACTATTACTCGACTCTGTGTGCAAATTCTCTGCAGATTTTCTACGTGTTTTTGATCTAGCCTCGTGACTCCTTAGCGTGGCATCGGCGCCACTGCTATGATTAGGTAAAATTGCAAATTTTCCCACTACAGGATCAAAATTATCTGAAATTCCATCACTTGTCAGAAATACAATATCGCCCCCCTCAACTTCCGTTACGGCCAGCGTTAAGTTATTCAATTCGGGATTAGAGCCATCTACTGGGCCTAGAGCACCTAAGGCATCTCGCATGTCTCGCATGCAATGAATATCGTGAGAACCTCGTGTTATCTCCCTCACACCAGTTTTTCTGTTTACATAAAATTGTCAGAGACTTATTATTCATATTAATTTATGATGCAATGCGTAATGAAAAGCAGATAACGACGAATATGTACCTCGAATATACATAGGCCAAACTATCACCAACATTGCAGGTACAAGCAATATATTTTTTCTGGTGTATATTTGTGTCAGTGTTTGAATTTGGCAGTGGAAGGATCGTGCATACTGTTAAGGTAGTGAGCATTCCTTGTTCTTGAAGAATTAACGAATGTGCTGCATGGAATGATCGAAGTAACGCTACAAATACATCTTTTGTCGTTGTCATCTCACTATTTATAGATGGGCAAAACAAGGCCCGGTTTAAATACTCTATACTTCCATGGACTGCGGATCTAGCTGCTATACTAGCTTTTGTACCTGGAATTTCCAATTATAAATATGATTGAAACATTAAACTTGCATATTATTATTGTAAAAGATAAAAATAAGCAGTGGCAAATTTAATTGTAATTATTTAATGAAATGTAAAGAAACAGAATCAATTATCTCTCTACAAATTGTAATTGAATTTATCAAACAAAACTTGTCTTAGCTTTAGGTTTACACCAGCTTATTTCTTTTTTTTAGATTTATTATTATATTTACCCCAATTAACACCATCTGCAAGAGCCAATATGGCAGAGTTTGGTCTTGCTACAACGCCAAAGCAATCAGCTATTGGTTCTCCGTTGTTAGTATCACTGATAGGATTTTTCTCATACAGTGTAGTTGCAATTCCATATGCGTTTTCATGAGGATTAAACCAATCCGTAATTCCAGCAACTGTAATGTTTGACGTTGTTGATCCTGAAAGTTTTGTCTTTATTTTATAAAGAGACATGGGAAATGTTTCACACATTATTATTATTATTCTAAACTTACCACTTCTATATTGCTCATTTTGATCTAGCATATCAATATAATCTATATCAGTATCACTAATACTTAAGTGCTTCTGTTGAAGATTAACTGCTGTAAGACCACTGTCAGGACCAGTATAGGCCGCAAATATTTCTTCATTTTCTTGAAAATTGTCGAGTTGTCTACTCGGTAATTCTTCTGGATTTCGACCGTGTAAAATAGGAGGCCCTTCTTGTTTTGTTTCTAGCCTAAGAATATTAATATATAATTAATACACAGTGATGCATTAGATAAGTAAAGAACAAAATAGAGCATTGGTGCCTCTATCCGGTTTGATCTAGATAATGATTTGTGTAATAGTAATTTTTAATGTGTATTATAAATCCCTTAATTTTTACTGTATCTTTAATTTTAATCTTTACCCATTCAGATAGCGTGTGATGAAGCAGCCACCAGGAAAATCCTGAGTTAATGATCGTGGGCTTCGAAGAGATTGTTCTCCAAGGCCAATATTCTCCACCGCTCCAGCCAAGTTGCTAATAGATAGTTGGCGCATGAAACCAGCAACTTTCTTCCGTAAACTTGGCATCTTTCAAAGAAGTCCAAGTACAGCAATTATGAATGTTAATTATTGTCTAATATTACTTCACGAAAGGCTCATACCATGATTATAGCTGCTGGAAACAGGTCTCTGATTAACCTTAAAAAATTCATAGAAACATCTTATAAAATTTTTATTAGAGATTATATTATCAATTATATAAAATTATATACATAATAAAATAGATGGAAGCAAGTGGCAAGTCAATTTTGATTAACTAAGATGTAGAATAAAGATGAAAGAATAAACATAATATGTAACATATAATTATACTAAAAAGAATAATATATTTATATGTAATATTTAAAAGAATACAATTATTTTTCTTGAAATTTATTTGAAATATAAAGATGTTTATTGAATTTATGCTAAAATTATGACTAAATTATGAAATAAAACATTGTCTTTGCACTTGCTTTAGTTCTAGCAGTTGAAAGTAAAGCTTCAAGGACAAACAAATTACATCTCCTTTAAAACCAGACACAAAGAAACTCAATCAAGCAATGGAATATTCTTTTATACTATCACACAATATAGTGATTTATTATTCCGCAGTTTCTTATTGACAATTTGACTTATCACATGATATCATTCTTTTAGATTACACACGCGAATTAAAACAGACGTCGATGAAATATATAAAGAAACTGCGAAGCGACTGGCGTCAACTGTACTTGTGGTGCGGCGACAAAAACAGTTACCTGGGAAAATTCTCACTGAATGAGATCACGATGCATACTGCACAAGCCCATTATTTTCTACTTTACCGCCATATTGGTAATGTGTCAATATCCGACTACTTGCAAGCGGCGGATCTAAAGAGACCTCCTCCCACGCTGCTACAGTCGTGACAGCAAACGATCGCAGTGCGTCTCCCGCTTGTGCATACATGGAATCGTTCGCGCGGCCGCGATTAGTATGGATAATAAAGCGGCGTCAACGGATGTCACGTTCGACAACGTTCTCATCAAGGTACGCGTACGTACACATACGTACGGGCGTAACGGGGCCGAGGAAGCCCTCCGCACAATTGACGTTCGCTCCAATTCTCGTACGGCGGTCAGGAATCAGCTGGCGATCGGTCGCCAGTTCAGAGATACGCTCATTTTATCGCGCATGTGCTATCTATTTGCGCTGCATGTGCGACTCCATTCTGCACCGCCTTGCACGGCATCGCGCCGCACCGATGACGACGACGATGACGACGACTACGACGCAATGACACGGCTGCGCTCTTTTTTTGGTCTGTTTTGACATTTGGCGAGTCAATATGGCGTTCCCATCACAGATGAGATGAGTGTCCACAGCTTTTCGCGGCTATTTTAGCGACCTTTGCACGCCACTCTACGAGGTCTAGTGTCGCACTTTCATGTCTGAAATCGGCATCGAATTCTTTTCGCGTGCAAATTAAATGGTTCGCTTGGCTTCGGATTTGGACTCCGATCTCCGATTTTTTAGTGCGTGAGCATTGCGATAGGTATTTGGGCAGTATTGTATAAATATTTCTACTGTGTGCGAGATTATCTTATTACGTAATCGTTATTTGAAATCCAGTTATCCGAATGAAGCAGATAAAATTGTGTTCGCTTTCTTCCGCTGACGTTTTGTTTGTATAAGAAAGTGTTGCTTAAATCGCGTGAGAAAGTGTGTACGGTTGCTCTTGTTAGCTCGCACAATTCATGTGACGGTATTTATTCCATGGAAAGCAATTTTCTCATCTTGTACCACAGCATGGACATTTTATGATCTAATACGCGGTATATAATTTATTTAAAATATTAAAAGTGAAGGTAAAAAAAAAAAAATAAAAAAAAAACAAATTTTGTTCTATTTTTTTCATTTCCAAGGTATGGAACTGTGAGTACGCAGATGGCTAGTGCTCTTTAGAAGGCCAATCGAGTAAAAAGGATTAGAAATTGGTGCACGAATGACAGCAGAAATATAAGATGTTCGAGTCTCCAAGAAGTCTCCAGGAGGTTTGCATTGACTTTATCTGTGGCAATGTTCTAGGCCTATGTGAGGTTCATCTTGGCGATACAAATGTACATTCTCCCACTGCTCCCAGTAGCAATACCGTTCCTGGTAAGTGATGTAAAACTTGTTTTTGTGCGTTGATTTGGCGGAATTAAAGCAGCATAAATTTTAGATGAACAAGATATCTATACACTGAACAGTAATAGCACAGAAGTCGCTTTTGATGCTACAACAGGTAGAACATCATCTAACGATGCTCCCTCCAGCTCTGCAACTCGACTTACCTTTAGGCATCCAGATGCCTTTTTGCCAGCTGAAGTATCAGAGCAATTATTATCCAATTTATGTGAGAAAAAAACATTATCAGATTTAACAATTACACTTTTTGACGCAAAAACCACCAGATTAAGGTAATAAAATATAAATTTAATTAAAAGAAAAACAAAATGGATCTGTAACAATAATACAGAAGTTAATTTTCTTTTAGACATGTACGGTTGAAAGATGCATCAACACTATCAGCTAAAGGCTTAAGTGTTCTTAAGCAACACAAAGTTGTAGATTTAATAGTAAATGGACTTAAAATAACTGTTAATGATTTAATTAGCTGTTTAGGTGATTGGAGTATACAAAACCTTAGATCGCTAAGTGTAGCTAAAGGAAGCTTTATGGATTTTTCAAGGTTTATATACTTGCGATATTTTGAAATTGAATTAAAGATTTTTATGACAATTGATAATTTTATACATTTTTACATATTTTGTTTTAGACAACGCATGGTAGACATTGCGACATTAAACAAATTGAAGGCACTTCATACCTTGAATGTCTCAGGAACAGAATTCAATAAACATGGTTTGGACATAGTAGTCGAAGATCTTCCCCTTTTAGAGAGTTTAGATATATCTTGTACAAGAGTTGATGATATAACACCATTAAAGAAGTGTAAAGATCGTTTAAGGACATTAAATATGTATAATTTAAAGATAAGTGGGTGCGGAAGTTTAATACCAGTGTTACTGGAATTAAACGAATTAAGGCATTTAGACATTTCCCATGAAAAAGATCCATATGGATTTGAAATGTTTGCACCCGCTAGGCCAAAAATAACAGATTTTCTAAGAGCTTTGAATTGTATGCCTTATTTGACAACTTTAGACTTGTCTGGTGAGTAATGCAACATGATCTTTATTGTATTGTAGTCTATAAAATTAATTTATTAATTATAGTTACACAATATTTTATTAAATACAATATTATTGTGTAGGTAAGGATGATATAAATCCGAAAGATTTAAAAAATTTTATTGCATCGCATGTACACTTGAGGTTTCTGGGATTGGTGCATTCTGATGCTTGTTATGATGAAAGTTTCATAGATTCAACACATAAAGATTTTAGACCTGAACTTATTGTAAGTTGGCACAATACTGTCATTAATTATGCAACCATATTGTCTTTGTATTACTTTAATGTATACAAATATTGGAATTCATATTTTTATTTCGTACTTGTTATATTTTTGGATATGCAATGGCATTCTTTTAATTATTACTATTATTACTATTATTTCTGCAAAATTTGATATGTCTCTATCTAATATTACTTGTCTCGTGCTCTTTTCATTATTTATGATAATGTTATTATATCATTTATATACTGCATTGCAATTTACATCTTAAAGAGATATATATGTTCTGTTACATTGTACATGTCATAGAAAAATGATAATATCAATGTTTGATATATTATGTTGTATATATGTATTATATAAGCAATCAATTTCCATTTGCAAATATAGAAAAATTGCTAATTATAAAATCATTAAGCTATATTATTCTCTTTTCTTTTGTTAGAAGTTTTAATTTTATATTTACTACAGAATAAAAATAGGAGTGAAATATAAGAAGAAAGTAATATGTAAATTAAAAAACAAAAAAATTAATAAACATTGAGTTGATATCAAAAAAAGAAAACGAATAAAAATAAAAAAAAATTTATTTAATAAAGGAAATTGATGTGAAATAATGTACATTGCATCTATCTTTTGCTTCAGATCAGTGGTACGGCAACAGAATCTCAAATTTTGGAAGCCCTTAGAAGATACACATTCAGACCAATATATCTTCAAAAGTGTCTGTTTAACTTATTCCGTTTGACACCAAACTTTCTCGAACCACGAGTTGATGTGATAAAATTAGTGTTACCTGGAATGAGAGAGCATCCACAGGAGTTTCGCGTACAAATGGCAGCTACTGCTTGTATTTATAATCTGACAAAAGGTGAATTGGCTCTTATGATTCATCCGTCAATACTTAAACAAATAGTCGAATTAACATTATTAGCAATGGAATCATATCCAACCAACCATCAACTTCAAAAAAACACATTATTGACGCTGTGTAGTGATAGGATTCTACAGGATGTTGCATTTGACAAATATAGGTAGCTATATAAATTTTATAAATTTATAATTTAGATGTAAAATATGCTGAGATTTCAATGTCTTTAGTCTTAACTATTTTGTATACTGCTCGTCATAATGTGCAAATTTTCAATGATACTATGTTAGAAATAGTTATAAAGAGATACTATCTTTTGTAAATGGAAGTTGATTATACACTGAAAGAGAATGTTGTACACATATACATACACACATAATTAAATAGTTTGGATTTAGTAATATAATGTCGTATTGATGTCTTTATATATTTGTTAGAAATATTAAGGAGTTTAATAATCTTGATAAGTTTGATTTTATTAGTTAAATGTCATACATTTATTATATAAAGATAAGTTAATATTTATAAACAGATATTGAAATTTCAGTATGTAAAAATAATGTATTATATATCTTTTGTGGTATATATAAGTGAAACTAAATAAGATATTTTTAATTTAATAGATGCGCAAGATTAGTTATGAATTGCTTGTCGACATTTGACGATGCATCTATGAATCGTATGTCTGTGGCTATTTGCTCAATATTAGCAGCAAAGATATCGACTGTAGAAACATCTATGCTTGGTGCACAACCACAATATATGTTGAAATTGCTTTCAATGGTTAGATCTAAAGTCGAATCTAAATCAGTAGATATTACAATGAAGTTTACATTAAGTGCTCTGTGGAACTTGACGGATGAGAGTGCCATTACCTGCAAAGTCTTTCTTGACGAGGGTGGAATGGAATTATTTCTCGAAGTATTGGATAGCTTTCAAGGAGAATCTAGTGTAGAAACTAAGGTTCTTGGTCTGCTAAACAATATTGCAGAGGTGCGTATCAGAATTTTTAATATTAAATGTATAATCTTGTATATAAGTAATAAATAGGATTTAATGACGTATCAAAATGTACTTATTTTTTTGTTGAAAATTACAGGTTGATCATTTGAGACCACGACTTATGCAACCTCGGTTCATAAAAATGCTTTCTATGCTGCTCGATTCTGAACACATTGATGTATCTTATTTCGCAGCCGGTATCGCCGCACATCTACTAAGTGATGGTCCTCGATCATGGTACAGTATGCCGAGTAGAGAACCGAGTAGAGAACAGTTGTTAGACCAATTGGTTCATGCTGTAACTCATTGGCAAACACCACAAGGAGAGATGGTTGCTTATCGTAGTTTCCAACCATTTTTCCCACTGTTACGTTGTACAGATGCTTATCCCGTTCAACTCTGGGCAGTGTGGGCGATTCATCATGTATGCACAAAAAATCGTAAGTCTAAACAAACGGAATCTGAGAAAACTTTGAAATATAGTAAAGAATATGCTATAATAATGATATATGTTTTCAGCAAAACGTTACTGCATAATGTTAATCAGAGAAGGTGGGGTGGAAACATTAAAACAATTAGAAAAAACACATACGGAATATACAACACAACCAAATTTGCAAAGTCTATGTCAATCGATTCTGGAAACCCTCGAATTAAATTCTTAACGATAGCTATTGTTTTCCAATCTGAAAGTTAAATACCGCATGGTATACTAGTCAATGTTTATCTTAAGTGCAATCCTATATCCTGTTTAGACCAAATAAATATAAAAATTATATATGGCCATGAATATATATATATATATATATATATATATATATATATATATATATATATATAAT